TTATATTAGTGTACAAAAAAAAAAAAAAAAAAAAAAAAAAAAAAAAAGGCTGTGCTTTCCCTGTCTACAGTCAGAAATGATCAGGTTTGCTGATGTGATAAGACACTGGGGTTTGTATGTGTTACCAACCCTGCCTACAGTTAGACCATGGCTCTTCTATCCTTCTCCCCAGAGCTGTAACAGATGCTTCACGTTCACACCAGGTTTCAGCCTGGTCATTGCAATACATTTGATGGAATGAGTTCTGGGTATAAAATGGTAGCATTCATGGGATGTTGATGTCTGCATTTCAAGAGGAATGGGTCAGACATCTCCACTAAACTTGACACATGGCAGTCAAAATATAGTCTTGCATGACATCTCTTCATCACTGATCACCAGTCTATTCTGCAAAACCCCCACTTTCATGAGCTCTGCCTGTTCTGGAAAGCACAGCATCTAGCTGCCAGTTCATGGTTCCTGCTCACCCGTTGGCCAAGGAGCACTTGAGGCTAGGTACCTGTGAGAGCCTGTGGGGTGGCCGAGTTGGGTATCGTAGCTGCATCCTGGGGGATCGAACTAATATCCGGCTCTGGTGTGCTTCTTGGTGGAGAGATTGCTAAGGGAGTCATCAGGACACGAGACTTCAGCTGTAAAAAATAACCAGTTGGGTAATGAACATATACACAAAATATTCCGATTTTATTCCATCTATGTCACGCCCCATGAACTCCCACTCATTAGCAATCTGCTGTTGCATCACTTTCTCCAGGCCACGAGCATCCGTTCTGCTCCCGGGAGGATACTGGAGCCTGAAGCCTGACTGATTTGCAGCAGACAGCAATGCCTTAAGTTACAGGATGCAAATATTATGCCACCCACAGGGTAGTTATTTACACCTGAGAAAACTGGGTATAACACTCTAACAAATCAGCACAATGGCATTTTATGACCCTCTTCATGTGGGTGTAAACTGTTTTCCACAGCTCAGAAACACGGTGTCTTTACAGCATAATTTAGGACCAAATTCTGCTCTTGGTTACAGGGGTGTAAATCCTGTGTAAATCCAGCGGAACCAAGAGGCTACTTTGGGCTGACACCCACGTAAGTAAGTTCAGACCATGGTCCATAGTGTGTTATCACCAGGTAGTAAATACAAACTGCTGCACTGTGGCACCCAGTAATCTTTGTGACCTGCAGGCCAGCTTGGAGAAGTGAAACACAACGGGAATTTATGGTGCAATATCACTACATCTTTACACTGCTGATACCTGGCAGCCTCTCACCAGTCAAATGATAACCAGGGCCTCATAATTACAAAGGGCTGACATGACAGATATGACCTGCAGGTACCACTCTTGCTTTTCCTTTCACTCTGAAGGGAAGTGGGGAGAATGCGGAAAGCCAAGCACAGAGCTGGCGGGTTTATATATTCACATATACTACACTGAGCTGTTCTTTTGGTAGGTGATTTTCATTTTGTTGTTATTTTTCAGCGGCCAAAGGTAAAAATGATAGAAGTGACAAGCATAAGAATGAAAAGGAATTTTTAGCTCTGTTAAATGTGTAGAGTATTGCTTGTCTCAGAGCATACACCCAAGCTGGAAATAATGTACGAAGTACGTTTTAGGTAGAAATTAAGCCAGACCACTACCTACGAACCAGATCTTGAGCAAGTCCTGGTACAGAGTAGAGGTTATTTTGGATAAAGATTGATGTTGTTCATGATTATGATTACAATTGTCTAAAATAATGGCCACAGTTTCAGCGTAATGGTAAAACCAGAAAGATAGAGAAGGGAGAGGGAAGGCTGTTGGACTTAGTGCCTCCCAAGTGAGTTTTTAATCATCGAATCTTTAGGAGTCTGGATCATTCCTCAGTTACTGGCTGATCCCAGCAAACGCTTCACAAAGAGAGAATTCAGGGTCTCTCTTGCTTTTGGTAGCATGGTAGCCTGTGATGATACCCATCAAAACAAAGAAAAAGGCCCTCTTTGTTGAGATGGGTGTAATTTTTGCCTGCCAGACCTTCGCTAAGCCCTTCCTGAACTTGCTGCTTTATGCAGTCTAGAGTTTCCCTCAGAGAAGCCTCTGTGTAAAGGTGGACATTACAAGCCCAAATGGAAATGGAAGCAGGCTCTTTATCCTGACACCATCCCCTTTGGGGCACTGTTCAGTGCCTGGGGCAGAGGCCGTATCCCACCACCTCCACATGGTGCCACTGCCTCCCTTTTCCTTGGATGGGCTAAATCCCTCTGGACCCAGCCTGAACAAGGGAGAAAGTGTTCAGTAAGTGAATCTAAGACAAACTATGGGTTTGACCTTCTGCTGTGTGGCAGCATAGGTATTAGAGACACTGAGCCAGCCCGTGCCTAGTGCCAGTCCTCACCTGCCTGTGTTGTCCTGTTTTTGTAGGGTTGTCTTGCCTTCAGATTGGGATCAAGAAAGATGAGTAGCAAAATGCTGTCAGTTTGTTTTCCAAGCAATTAAAATAAATGTGAGGAAAACAGCGTTTCAGAAATCGGGGTCCCCATCTGATTTGGGGGTTATCCTGTGTGAAAAGCTGAGAAGCAGCACTATTTATTATATTCTGCAGCAACATGCTGCTGACTCACTTTTCTGTGGTGAAGTGGGACTGGAACTGTGAAACTTTGGGTAGCTCCTATGCTAGGTTTCTGGGCTTGCATTTGATCGTACACATATACATACATATATAACAAGAGCATATATACATACGTGCATTTGTACTACGTAGTATATACAGCGATATAAAAATATATACATTTATATGGTAATGTACGTGTATACTTGTGTATATATTTATGTGTATATATACATAAATATATATATATATGCACTCACGCATGCACACATCTATATAGAGGCTATTTTGGAGACAGCACACCTAATAATTTCTGTTTCACTTGCATGTTGCCTCCTTAACATCCTTACTGGCTCACAGCCCTTTGGCCCCAAACACAGGCGCACAAGTCCCTCTCCAGCCCCTGAGCCTCGTGCACTGTCTGAGTATGCGCTGTCCCACCAGCACCATCAGCCCGGTGGATGTGGGACAGTGTCCAGTAGACTTCTTTCTCTGCCTGTTCCCTGGCTTTTGGAGGCCCACGCAGGCTTATGTTCTGGAGCAAAGAAACAGAGGTCAAGACTTTTGTAAACTCTCTAGCTTGGAAACCCCTTCTTGGCAGTTCGCTGTTTTAGCAAACAGTTGACTGCAAACCTAATTGCAACAGCATGTGCCCTACAGCCTCTGGATACAGATAAATTCCATTTTATTAGGGATAGCAGAGAATGTGCCTTCATTAGATTAAAATAAAACAATGCCTGATTACAAGAGACAGTACACTAGTAAACATGGCTTAAATACCTCCTGGCCACTGAAACCTTGAGTAGTCCCTGAATATCGCAAAGTGTAAACCTCAAAGTATTTCTTTTAAAGATGTCTTTTCTTGGACTGATTCTTCTCTACCAAGAAGCCAACCCATCCAACCAGCTGACTGATTGAGAGCTTGGCAGTAGAGAGCACATACACATGAAAGTGAAAAAAAGTGGTGAAGGAGAGAGAGAAAAGGAAACAGGGAAAATGTGTCAGAGCACTTTGGGAAATCCTCACAGCAAGACATTCAAATCAGCTTTTGAATATAAAATGTCATAAATTTTAATATGCACAGCATGAGATATAAAAGGCAATGGCTGCTTTAAAACAAGATGTATAACCAACCCCTC